ACAAACATATTTTTCACTTTTTTATTACTTTTTTCATTTACCTCTTTAGAACTAAACTTTATTTCACATGATGTTAAAAAAGGTCTTTATAGGAAAAAAGCTCATGTAGTAAAATTCATGTCTTGGGTTAAAAATTTTATGTTTTTTCAATGCACAAACAAGATAAATGGACTGGTTCCTATACAGTGCTTTTCTACTATACACTCAAAGCACTTTATCTAAAAGTCATTCTTTCCCAAGGATGCTTTGGCATGCAGACTCGAGTGGCCAGGGATCGAACCACTAAACTAAACAATACTAAATAATTCAATTCAATTTTATTCATACAGTGCCACAACAGCAGTCACCTCAAGGCGCTTTATATTGTAAGGTAGACCCTACATAAAGAGAAAAAACCAACAATCATATGACCCACTATGAGCATGTACTTTGGCAACAGTGGGAAGGAAAAACTCTCTTTTAACAGGATGAAACCTCCAGCAGAACCAGGCTCAGGGAGGGGCGGGGCCAGTTGGGGGGAGAGAAGAAAGACAGAATAAAAGACGTGCTGTGTAAGAATAATTGCATTAATAATTATTAATTACATTATTAATTGACAACCGGGTTTTGATGCTCTCTGTAGGCACCACACAGTCACATTTCTACCTCTACAGACTTATATAGTCTCACAGCACACACCCCCTACATACAAACATTGCCATACACACACATCCCAGCAGTGGGCCCAGCTCCTAATGCGCTAACAAGCTCCCTCTCTCCTCCCCTCGCCTCCTCTCCTCCTCCAGCCTCCCTCCGTCTCAAGTGATCACAGGAGTCGAACACCGCCACAATGAGCGGCGCTGCGGGAGAGAAAAGGTCTGAAATGGAGAGAGAGAGCGAGCGACAGAAGAGGGGGAGAAAGAGCAGGAGGAAAGCACGAACACTTCACTCTCTCCACTCCTTTCAGCCACGCACAAGAAAATGAGTTTCTGACTCGACACAAAAGAGCCTCTTTATCCGCCCCCTCTCTCCTCCATGTTTCTCCTGTCCGCCTTTCTCTGCTCTGCTTTCTTTTTCTCCCTCACCAGCCTTCCTCCCCTCTTCCTCCCCTTATAATTTTCCCTCTTTCTTTCCCCTTCTCTCGCTGAAAGAGGGATATTTTGCTGCTAATGACTTAATAAGAGGAGCCATCTGAAATTCAATTACAGCAGATTTCATAGTTGCGACTGCCATTTGGATAGAGGGACAGAGGGATGGATGGAGGCAGAGATGTGCGAGCGCATTTCAACTCTATTTTCTATGACCTCTCAATGGTTTCTACTTTTTTTCTTTTTTTTTTAATACCAATAATAATAACTTTATTTCAGTACTGTGCTTCGTGCAGACGGGCCCCCTGAAATGCTTCACAGAGGATTAAAAATTTGGGAAAATAAATAACAAGAAAACCTAAAATCGTTAAATCTCAGTCACAGTTTCTGTTATTAAGACTTAATTTTCAGTATCAAATAAGAGAAAAATGTTTGTAAAAGCTGAAGCAGAAAGAGACACACAGGACCTGTATTTAATTTGGCTTAAAGAAGATAAATATTTTGCTCTAAATGTTGTCACGTAAAGAAAAGTGCTAAAGTTTGCTTAGATGGCGAAGTGTCTCGAAGCAGCGTTAACAGGGTTTCTCGAGGTTCCCAAGGCAGGACAAGGTGTCGAGACCACACGTGACTTTCATAAAAAAAATAAGAAAAAAGGTTTAATATGCAGTCGATGTCGTAGAGACATTAATTATAAAGATTTATAAAGACCCCATGTGGACATTTTCGTTGCTAGAACAGCCCGGTGTAGCGGACGTTCTCCGTGCAGAGTGTTTTAAAGCTTGTCCACCGCTGATGAAGGTGAGATTACTGCTCGTGTATGTTTTGCACATCGGTCCTCGTCCCTGTCCTCCTCATGTCGCCTCATCCCAGCGGGGAGTTGGTGTTTGTGACACGGTGACACAGCCCACACTGAGAGGAACAAAAAGGGAAGGAGGTATAAAGGAGGCAGACGGAGGACGAGGGAAGAAAGAGATGTTCCCGTCACTTATCTCAGCAGTGGTACTGCGTCTCTGTATGTATTTGTCCTTATTCTCCCGTCTCTGCAGACATCTTTCTTTCCCGCGGGTGTCCTTTAAACCTTTTCACCCCCTCAGAAATGAGGAAACGGGAGCCTTTTATGTGCCTTTTTTTCCCCCCTCCCCCTTTCTCAGACACACATTATTAAAACATGATATGAAGATGATTAGGTGTTGTTTGCCTGAATATATAATAGCACCTCTATCTCCTAATTGCATTACATGCAGACCTCTCTTCCCCCTCCGACGCGCACAAACACACCTTCGTTCACCAAAGGGGGAGGTGTGATGGCGGTGAGGGGGAAGCAGGAAAGGGCAAACGGCGAGATCACACAGAGACTCGGTGTGCGAGGCGCCGGCTCGACGGTCTTTGTGCGCCTGCCGCTGCTCTCCCGGCTCTCATGTTGTTACTTAAACATCGCCCTCGCTGCCTCGCTGCCTCGCTTCCTCTGCGGCTCACCGCAGGATTCTCACCCTTCCTTCATCTTCACCTTTGCTGTTTCCCTTTTAACAAGTTCTCTTCCTCCCTCAGCATCTCACTGCATTTGCTCCTCCGACCCCCGTCCCCTCCTTCTTTTCTTTTCTTTTTAGCTCTTTATAGCAGCTGTTTTTAGACGTTGAAGTTCCCGTGAAGTCAAGTCTGGTAAATGTCAGAAACAATCTTTGACAAACCATCGCCCTGTCACAAGTTTATATAGATTTCCTCCTCTATATTTTCCCTGCTTTTTTTCCACTTATCTGCCTCCCCTCCTTTCCCCTCTGTTGTGCCAGCGCACTTTAAAGCAGCCATATTGTTGTTATTATCATTGTCTGTAACTGAATCAGTTACCATTAGACCTGAATCTCTCTCCTTCTGAGGCCCATAGACCAGCTCTCTAACCCAATAGAAAACCCATGGGTGCTGTTACAGATGGCCGAGCCATTCACAACGTGCACTCACACACACACAGATTTCATTCTGAAGATTCATTGGCTTAATCCCATCACACACTCGAACAGCATCACGTGCACACACACACACTGTGCTTTCTCACATCCAAACTTATCAAATCCGGACACACACACATAAACGCTGTTTTCTCGTTGAAAAGCCCTCGTTATTGGAGCTCACTGAGCAAATGGTCATTCTGTTGGGAGATGATGGGACTGAACTGTGTGTGTGTTTATATTTGTGTATGGGTGTGCGCGTGTGTGTCAGGAGGCCGTAACAGCTGTGCGTGTCTGTCATTATGGGGGGATGTATGAGAAGGACTAAGCAAGAGAGGGTAAATGTCATTCTATCAATGAGGTTATCTCTAATAGATGGACAGTTGAAGTCCTGGTTTCCATTTACTCTGCTCTCTGCTGAAGCCTCTCGTTTTGAATAATAGCAAGTGATAAATAGCAAGTTTTTTTCTCTCTTTCTGTCTCTGGCTGGATTATTCTCTGTAGAGTCACATGGACATGAAGGTACACGGTCATTCAATAAACACGTGGCATTTCAGTTTTCTTGTACTGGGCTCCAAATTAGGGTTTGAGTTCTTTTATCATTTATATTATATTAAACCAAAAACTATAATCCTTTAAAGGTTTACTCCCTTCTTATATAAGCGTTCGTTTCAGGGCACGGCCGGGTGATATTTGTTATTCCAGAGGGCCATAATAAGTGAGAGAGCTCACTTTGGAGGGCTGAATTGAAACATGACGCACACAGTGCTGAATTATGTTAAACTGCATGAATTTGGAGGACATTGCAGATTATTTCACAATGGGTTATTTGCCGGCCTACAAGGCCTACGCAGCCTGAATAAGAGATGCGGTGGATTTCTATTGCGGGTTAAACTCTTGACAAATAATCCACATTTAGCACATTGAGCTTTGAAAGAATTTGGAAGCACATGAGACTTTAATGTAGTTTTTTTATCGCTCTCGTGGAACATCAAAGGTTTTTCATAACTATGCAATGTGTTTAGAAAAGGGGGGGGACTGAAATTGGAGAAAGCTTTGTTAAAGTAGCTCAACTTCATTTTAGTTTCACATTTAATCGTATGAAGTATGCAAACAGTTAATTAGCAAGTTTGGGTTTTTTTGTAATGATTGGCCTCGAGCAGTATTTTCCCCATAAATTTGAAGGATTTTAATATTTACAACAGAAACAGTTATCCTGGTCTTCAGTCCCCCAGTTGGCCGGTGTCCTTTGTAACACCACCCATTTCAAGCTCCGCAGCACCAGTGTGCAACTTTATCTTGTATCTTTATCACCTCCATATTCACCATGACCAGTAATTTCACCTTAAATGTGTATTTGTAAGCTTGACTAAAAGAAACAAACATAATGGTTATTTTGTGTTTTATTCCTGTCCCATTTTTGTGTGGCAGCGGTTATAGATGTAGGCTCGAACCACAGGACCTTTTTAGGTATATTGGTATCGGCATTTATAGCGACTGATACCAATGAAAAGTTAAAAATAAATACAATAAGACCCGGAAACACTGGTGTATTTCTCTCTGTGGGAAGGTGATTTGGATGCTTTTGTTTTTATCTTGTTTTTGTGTTATTTGAATTATTTTGTTTCTGTTGACTATGATTCTGGAATAATTAAAGATTTAATCGGTTATCATTTTTATCATGGTACAAGTGCTGATAATCCATATTTGTCCACAACAACAGGCAGCAAATCTAAGCGGACTCTGGCTGAGTGTAAACAAGCTATTTAATTTCTGACATAAAATAAAATAAAATATTGATTGATGTATCTGATATTTAAATCACCAAATATCAGTATTGGAATTGATATTGTTCTTAAAAATCCTGTATTGTTCGGCCTCTAGTGGTGGTTTTAATAACTTTTTAAGGGCAAGTTAACCCATTGTGCTTCTTTTTGTTAGTGTCTGTGTTTCTGCTCCTGTTTGAGTTGTCCTTGACCTTTGAACTCAGCTATGAGGAGCGCGCCCGATACTTAGAAAATATCGTGCAGAACCACCAGGAGCCAACCACGTTTGAGGATTACGCAGCCCGAGTCTACAGTCCTGCTCCTTGCACTCACCTGCCCTCTGACACAGGTAAGACCACAGCAGCAGCAGCTACACCTGTCAAAAATGTATGAAATAGGCTATAAATCTGGGTGTTAGCCATAACATGAGATGGTGTTAAAATTAAGGTAAAAAGGAGCCACATGTCCCACATGGTCTCCTGACCCTTTAAAGTGTAAGCAAATATTGCATTCCAGTGAATTATCTGGAAACATGTCCAACATTCAGGCTACCAGAAAAAAGTGCAGCACACAGTAATATGTAATATGTCCTGTACTTTTAACGTTTCAAGGTCTCAGAAATTCTGTGCACACCCCTGTGAACGTTAAATAAATAAATATCCACAGTATTCATGAAACACACTTAAGTTCACAATAATCAACTAATTCTAAACGACAGGGTAAATTTGGGTGGAAAAGCCTAATTGGTTTCTTTATTACACCTCATATGAGAAATAAACAGTTAAACCAAAAACTGCAACTATTCTCAGTTAAAGTTCTTTTATTTTAGAGGGGATATATTTGGCACATCAGTAGCTGGACATAGTAGAAGAAATGCACTCTGACTCATTCGCTGAGGACTAAAGCTAGCATTAAATTATGGACCAAATAGTATTCTATGGTATTCTATTCTAGTCCTTTGGTTTTATGTCCTCTTCTCAAAGGAAAAACAGGTAAATAAAAAGTCAAATGTACAAAAAATATTAACATTTTAAAATCCTATGAAATGGCTAATAATTTCTTTTTAAAAACGAAAAATACTCAGCTCCAAAGGAATATACTTATGGAAAGTGTGGCCAAAGAAAACATCAAACGCTGCCCTGTTATAGGGATCGCTGCACTGCTGAGCACTTCACATTTCTACATTGTTCACTTCTAATTAAAAATGTCTTAAAATGGCAGATTTTGATTCTTAAATTGGTGCCGGAGCACCGACGATAACAGCGTGACATACTCAATAAAAAATCCCACATATTTTGTGTTTGCTGTGTACAGATTGTATTTTGCTGGCACTCATTGTCCAGATTTGATAGGATGAACTTCAGAGCACACACACACACACACACACACACTATAGCTCACAGCCTGAGTATCTGCTGAGCTCTGTTTTGTATCCAAAGCTGCACTCGGGCCCTTTTTTCTCTCTCTAGAGCTCCTCTGAGGAATTAGCTGACATCTGATCAGCCGTAGAGATGCCAGGCGCGCACATGGGACTTAAATATGACTCTCATATGTATCCTGTTTAAGTTTATTAAATCGATACAGACCATTAGTCCTTGCAATTTATCTGCTTAAAATTGTGGTCTGTCCTTTGGCTCCAGTTTAATCGAATTAAAAATTAATTAATTTTTGTAGGTAAGCCGCATATTTTCTTCTTAAAGACTTATAAATGTGTGACCTGAAGGAGCAGAAGTGCGTGGTGTAATCAAATGATGGTTTGTAGGGACACATGACAGGTGTGACTGTGTGCGTTTGTCTTGATATTTGTATAATTGATGCCTGTTTCCTTTCCTTAGCCACCTGCTCCTCATCTTACCAGCTGCTGTGTCAAAATATTAATAATAATACAACAATAATCAACCTGCTTTGAGGTTAAATAAATCTGGCACAACACCCCCGCCCACCCCACCCACAGATTTTCACTCATTCTTATTAAATGGCATTTAAATGTAACATATTAAAGGCTCTGTTTTGGTTTGTCATGGGTTGGGCCCCAAATTCCCATTCAGAGCACAGGATCAGATCCCAGTAATTCCAGTAATTAAGCCTGCTTGATCTTTGGTCACGATGAGTGCGTCACATCTAAAAATTGTGAATTGAGATTTCGTTTTTGACAAACTTTTGATGATCCTGTGCTCTGAAGTCAACCCAGAGTAATTCACTTCCTGCCCTCCCCTCCTGTATTTACTCACAGGTTCACCTCTCTTAACAAACACAATGATCAATCATTCTTCTCTCTGTTTTTATTTTATTTTGTTTTATTTCAATTTTTCCCACCCATTTTATTTTCTTTTTGTCCCCCTCCCCCCCCTCCTCCTTTAGATCGTATTGTCTCACTTGCCTATAGCTAAAAAGGTAAGCCTGGTCACATGATTGACACGCCCAGTTCTGACTGGCTCTTCCTAATGACGTTACAGCCTAGCCTTTACACTCCTGTGATTTCTCCATCTCTCCGTTTCTTCTTCCTCCTGTGTTTTCGACTGTTTAACCAGGTCTGCATGTGTTAACAGCTGCCTTCACTTTAAAAGGAAGCCTCACTTTCAACTTGCGGTTTGGTGTGACTTTTGTTTTATGGATCATTATCAGAGGCAGTAAGAGGGCAAGACACTTGTTTTTATTCTTGAGTGTCAGACACACAAATAAGTCCAGTTTTAATTTATTCTTAAAAACAAAACCATCGCCTGGTTTAAATTTTAAAGTGTCTCTTACTCTGGTTGGTCTCCTTATCTAAGTGCTAGTTGTTTGTCTTTTCCTTGAAGTCCTTTTCTGTCCAAGCAGCAGCTTTCTGGTGCTAAAACTAAAACTTTAAGCTGCTTCCAAAAGCTGCAGTCAGTCCCCGCAGACTCCCGTGCTAAAATGCACGCCTTTACAGCAGGAATGCGCTTGTTCACACCCTGGTCTCTACAAGTAATTTCCCCAGTTAATAATGGTAATTACCCCCACTGGTGACTGGATCTGTATGCTGTTGGTACCTTTTATATAATTGTTAATCATTAAAGTGAAAAATATAAGGGCCTGCTGTGTTATAGTTGAACTAACAGACCATCCAAGCAAACCAAGAAATGGGTTACATCCATCTTTTGCAGCTAACACAGATTTCCTGAGACTTCTGAAAAGGAGGAGTCATTGCAGACCCCCTGACCTGTGGTGTGAGCCCTTGTGAACCCAGTCAGCACACCGTTTGTGCTTTTTATCCACACCATGTTCACCACATGCTATATTCGGTAGATTTAGCTCCCCGTAGCTTCTACATCAGAACTTCAGGTTAAAGATTTAACACAGGCAGCTGCAAGTGGTGAGAATGGGACTTCCACAGAGCGATCTACAAATTTTAAAAGTTTTGCCGCAAAGGTGACTTTCACTCATCACAGGCACAAGAAGACAACCTTAGAGGGAAACGTTTTGTCTTCCTCTTGAGATGTCTGACTCACTGGCTGTCGGGATGAAAATAACATCTTGATTTATTAACGTACCCACTCTGCATCCTGATAAATGTTCCTCAAACACGACACGAACGTCACAGCAAATCGCTCTCAGAGGCCGGGTGAAAGTGAGACGTCCTTTTCTCCTGTCTGTCCACTCGATCCGTAACTTGGTCGTTCTGTTAACCTCCGATGTCACGCTCACCTGGTGAAACTTGACCTCTAACATTTTTGTATGCTCCTCTCGCTCTCTCTCTTCCCAGTTGTGATATGATGTAGTGCCATAGTGCTGCTCAAAGATATGCACTCTGAAACCCTGTTAAAAGTGGTAAACCAAGCATAGGTTTGCACATGTGCACAAAAGCTGTTTGAATGTTGGACTAACGCTGTTTTCTGTGTTTTCGATTGTGCACTTTCAATGTAACAGGGATGGGACAAATTAAGTGAATATGCTCTGTTGTATGTGTACTCATTATGTACGTGTACGTATTGTAAATGTGCTTGTGAAGTCTGTCATATGTGTCCTTCTGCTCCTCTTTCTTTTTTCTGTTTTTATTCAGTTTTCTTTTTCTTCTCTCTCCTGAACTGCTCCTCTTCCAATACCTTCTTTATTTCTTTGTCCTTCTCTCTTTCCTCCTTTATCCTCTCCTAACTTAACTTCCACTCATTAGAGGAGCATAGTGCAATGTATCTGATGGTCCCGAAACCACTAGACAGCTTTAACCAGCTCAGGGTTAAAGGGAAAGGTCTTAAGCAGAAGGTTCTTCATGCTAGCTGTGAATGGTATGCACTAGAGATGGTGAATAAATTGTGGACTTTAAATTGCACTTTAAAATACTTTAAATTACAGGACAGTCTCTGCAGTGAGCTACCAGAAGTTTCTCTGCAATTTGAAACATTTATTTTTTGCAGTTTTAGCCCAGATGTCGTTCTGTTGGAACATTTCTTTATTATGTAGGAAACCTGAGACCTACTATTTAATTTGCACTTCTGTTTCTTGTATTAAGATGTCTCAGGGACTAAATGTTTATCTAAACGTCTTTACACTGACACAACGGTGAGTTTCACTCGTCCAGCCCACTTAACATCAAAGTGAGCTGTACATGAAATGAGTTTGACAGCCTTGCTTTAAACTGTATCATCCAAAGCTATCCTGATAGAGGTGGTACCTGTTCTATAACAGGTTCAGCTGCAAAGCAGGAAAAATTTTAAAATGTCTTTGTAGTCACTGGTAAAGGGTTAGTATGTCCTATCAGCGAGGCTTAGTCTAGCTCAGATTAACTTAATTTTGGTTGGTTTAAATAAACCAACCATAAAATACTTTTCTGTTTCACATTAAGTATAGGTCATGCACATGTCTAGTGGTTTTGGGGAACCTTTAACTTAAGGAAATAGAGCTTGTATCAGGTTCCTGTCTCTAGCTGTGTGTCTGTGTGTCTGTCCTGCCTCTGTGACTGTAGGAATCTGTGCAGTGTGGCTTCATAGATCACAGTGGGCTGAAATATAATTTTATTGTTGTCCCTTCATCCTTTTTCTCCTTATTTACCTCCACCCCCTCACCTCGCCCGTCTTCCCCTCAAACTCCCCTTCTCCTCCTCTTCTTCCTCTTCCTCTTCAGGCTCCTGCCTAGAGATTCTTCGGGGAGAAAGTCCGGCTCTTGGGGAGGCCGGGAGCGACACGGCGTCCCCCATGTCTCCTCGGACTAGCAAGAGCCGCATGTCCATGAAGCTGCGACGCTCCTCCGGATCAGCCAATAAAACCTAAACTCCCCAAACTGCAGGACTCAGCCAGAACTCACACTTGATATCACATTAGGAAACAAAAAGCTTTCATATCAGCCAATGAGAGGTATCAGGATCCTCAAAAACAAGCAATTTTAAATTGGTCCGTTTACAAAGCACACAAAATTAGGTATGTAAGCAAATTAATATAAACTCTTGAGTAGACGCTGATTCATCCCAGCATGTTGCATTTCTGGTTGGACCCTGGGCTTTAATGGGCACACGTGTTCTCTTGTACTAAATATATATAAAAGTATTCTATGGGCAATACTGTAACTTTTATTTTGAAAAATACTCACAGATGCTGCTCTGTATATCTGCAGCTTTTCTTGGGGAAAAAAAACACACACACAGAGAGAGACAAGTCAAACCAGTGTTGCAGCATGTTGAGTAGTAAAATTAGCAGTGCAGTATTAGTTCATAACAGCCTGTGCCATGTTAGAAAGTGCACACAATGCCAGTCGGTGTGAGCAGGACTGCAAAGAAGAAGAAAAGCATCAGTGTGTCGCGTCATGCACCGAGCGTTGCTGTAAGGAATCTGTATATTTGTACTATAGGAGGTGTGTGTGTGAGTGTGTGTGTGTGTAAAGGCAGAGGTGGGAGTGGAGGCTGTAAAGAAAGCGATAAAAGTCTATTTTTTTTTGTGCGCAGCGCAGACCTGAAATGATAAAGAGAGTTAGTTTCTCAAGCCAAAAAAACGTTCTCTGTGTTTGAATCCAGAATAAAAGTCTGAACTTCCTCTGATGATCATTAACAGGACCGACCGATGGAAGAGGAGGCATTTGCATATATCATTTTGTTTTCTTCTGATGCTGTAAAACGAGCACTGATATTAATATTAACATGTCGGGGTTTTTTCTTTTAATTGACTGTAAACTGAGTTTTGACCCGAACAGGAATGTTACTGTATTTTTAGTCAGTCCTTCATCTGAGGCAAAGAACCACAGCTTTTTCTTTCTTTGTTCCCTCGAGTATATGTTGTATATCTATATGAGTATAAATATATATATATATATATATATATATATATATATACATAGTAGATATATGAATATCTATAAGAATGTGTACAGTGTAAGGAAGCTTGTTGTGCGTGTGTAAATACGGTTATAGCTGCCAAAGCCAAACTGTGGTTGAAATCCAAACCGCAGACTTGCTAGAAAACAAAACAAAAAGTAGGTTAGCGCTACAAGATTTCAAGCTTTCATAACCAGCTTGCTCTTCATCGTCCAGGAATTTAAATTCATTCTACGTTGTTCTTCCCGTGATGGAGCTTGTAAATCTGTATGGAGGGAATCATCATTCTCGTGAATTACTGTAAAAGGCTGGTGGGTGGGGGGAAGGGGGACTGGTATTTAAAGCACACTTCAGCGTGTTGGGATCTGGGTCCACAAAAGTCCACTAAGAGTTGGTTTAGCGCTTCATTTTCAGTGTTTTGTAGGCAGTTTTCAGGGTTGGGGGGGGAAAAAAATACAAAAATAAGAGAACCACCGCCAAAGAAGGGGAAGAAAAAGAGGTGTCATTGAGGGAGGGGGCATCAGCATGCAGTCGCAACACTACCACTTTTTTTTTTTTAATGTATTTAACATTTTCAGTTTAGCTCTTTCTGTGAGTTTAGAGGAAAAAGGGTTAAACGAACGCTCTTCCCGTGTCTGTTACTGGTGAAAGTTTTGTTACTGTTTGTTTCAGCCATATACTCTATAGATTAAAGGGATTGTGTAACAATTTTCTTTTATTTCAAACTTAATATTTAAAAAGGAGGAGATCAGATTCGTGTGCAGTTACTTGAAGTCAGCTGAGGTTTGAGTCTTCCCTTTAAATTATTTACTCTTGTTACTTTTGTCACTGAGGTCAAAGCACCATTGAATGGTTGAGAGGCCCCACTGCACCCTGATCTCTACATGCTGCGTGTATATATATGTGTATGTATACTAGAGGTCACCGAGCCTGCTCAGTTCACACCCCAAACTCCGTCCCAGCACCGAAACCACACGACGGCACCATGTTTACGCTCCCCAGTGGATTAGCGTTCAGATGCTGCTTTAAAGATCCACGGGTTGTACATACTGTTCTTTTCTGTCCCCTACAACTAGTTTCCACCCAAAGAGCATGAATAAGTCATATCGGCGTCACTCTTCATCTGAAGAGGAGAAACAGTGTAAATCCCCCACCTGATGGATACTACTGATTACACACACTGCATGACACCAGTTCAGTACCAGCTGCATGCTTTGACTGCGCACACACTCCACAAACTGTCAACTGTGTGAACATGTGTTAACGCCGGCCACACGGCAAGCGTATGGATGTGCCACGATGGAGTTTGACAATAAAACAATTCGTACCAGTAACTGCCAGAGTTGTGTGGTTAATCAGCTTCAAAACAATAACAGCAGCAGGCTGACAGCACAGTGTTGATTGGACTCTACTCACATTTATTCACAATTGTGTCATTAGTTTCACATTCAGCCATATCAAAATAGGACTGTACAGTCTTCATAGAACCACACGTTACATTTTTAGCATCATAAAGGCATTTAGCAAATATCTCAACATGAATAATCAAAGACAAAAGACCTTTTTTAATAGCAGTATAACATTAACTGTTTCATTTCTGTATGAAAATATTTTATAGCTGAGAAATTAATGAGCATGTTTATTATAAAAGGTCTGATTGTTTTCTCTTTACTCTTATTCATTGATCTCTGTACATTTGTGGTTTGAAAATTTAGTTTTTTAGGATGAGAAGGAGGAAGATCACCCATTATGGTTGCACTCCTAAGATTCAGTGAACACAAAAACAAATGCCAAGTTCAAAATGACTGGCTGTTGGGCCCGTTTTACTCACTCTGGTGGTGGCATTAATGAGCTTTAGTGCCAGGTTGTTTGCAAGAGAAGCTGAACTGTAAGTAATAAGAAGAAATAATTTAATCGGTTAACATTATTCTGGATTATTTGTTTTGTCTGGTAACTTAAAATATCCCCTTTTCCCTTTAAGGAAAAGCGAGCTAGGATGGTTGTGTAGAAGCCAGTTTCCAGGCAGGGTTTCAGCACCTTGGACAGTTACAGGTCATCTTCAGCATCTTCTTTTACTCACTCAGGGTGTAGCATATAGTCCAAATATACTACAGCAGAACTATAAATGTGTTATTTAAGCACCCAGAGAAGAAACAATCAGAGGTTTGTGGTAGATTGGTAGCTTTGTGGGAGAAAAAAAAGACATTTTGAGATGTTATTTTATCAGATTTTAGTATCTACGAGCAGATTTTGTCTCCAGGTGACCATTAAAATTAATTCAATATTTTAAAATAAGTGCCCGGAGGTGTTACCAAGATGGCTACCGAATGGCAAGACTTGCTTCTGAAAGGACTTCTTGATAAATAAACTTTTTTCCACCTTTTCCAAACTACAGTTTTGCGCGCGACTCACGGCCGCACGGTCATCTGCAGCAGCATCACCTGCCGGTTCTCGGTGGGGTGAGACTTGTTGATGTGTCTCGTGAGTCCCGGGGAGCTGAAGAAAGTGGAGGGGCAGTGTTTGCACGTGAAGATCTGTTGCTGCTCCTGCTGCTGCTGCTGGTCGCACTCCCCGCCACCGCTCTCCTCTCTGTGCGCGTGGAAAACGTCCCCTCTGCGTCCTCCTCCTCCCAGAGTCTCCGCCATCAGCTCGTCCCTCATCGCGTGCCACAGCCGGTGCTTGTCCCTGATTTCGACCGACGGGAAGCGCGCGCCGCACAGGTGACAAAGGCACACCTGGCTCTGTCCGGAACTGGGCTCGCGCGCTTGGCCGTAAGATGCAGCGGGCGGAGACGCTCGCGATGTCATCTCGTGCGCGGCCAGGTGTTTCTTCAGGTAAGCCTGCCGCCGGAACTTCTTCCCGCAATACCGGCACTCGTACACCTCCTCCTCCGGTAACGACTGAACGAACGGCAGAGGCGGAAGCTGCTGCTGGGGCAGGTCCGCGCGCTCCTCTGGGTTCAGCACGAGGAGACTGGATGGCGGGCTGTCCGCGGCTCTCACCTGCGGCTGCAGGTCCAGGCAGCTCTCGGCCGGGTTCCGGTAACGCGAAGAGGAGTCGTAGCGGGGAGGCGCGAGGCCGTCGCCGTCCGGGCTGTCCCGGGACCGCGCGTGGAGCAGTAGCAGAGACTGCTCGCGCCTCATGCGGGAGCTGTCCAGCGCCGCGTGGTGCTGATTGGTGTTCACGCGCAGCAGCTCGTTCTCCTTGCCCTCCAACTCCACCGGCGGCCTCTCGTGCTGAGCGAGCCCTCGTGCCTCTTTGAGCGAAAGGCTCTTGTTGGGGGTCGGGGTCTCACCAGCCGGGCTGCTCACCGGGCGCGGCTTGTGCCAGCGGCGGTGAGAGGCCAAGTTGGCCGGGCAGCTGAAGACCTTGTCGCACTCGGGGCACCGGTACTCCACGCGCACTATGCGGGAGCACTTGTGCTGCGCAAGGGAGAAGGGGTCGGGGTACTCCTCTTTGCACAGCTGGCAGATGAACTCCCCCAGCGGCTGATTCCCGCCGGGGCCGGACGACTTCTCCCGGTGCCTCCGCAGCTCGGGGCTCTCCTTCTTGATGCGCAGACCCAGAACCGGGGAGGTCGTGACCTCGTCCTCGAAGTTCAGCTTCCGGTTCACTTTGGGTTTTTTCGTGGGGTTGCTGCACGCAGACTGTTTGCTGTGTCTGCTGCTGCTCGGCTCGAGGAACGAGCGTTTCCTCGCCGCTTCCTGGCTCATCACGGTAAGATGCGGGAACAGGTGCACGTGGGGAGGGTCATACTTGTCACCGTGACCGTAGGACGGCGCGTGGTGGCGGCTGCTGCTCGCGAGGATCCTCTCGATGGAGGCGGACACCGAGGTCGGCGTGGAGCTGACCAGGAACGGCAGGTCCGGCAGGTCGGGTACTGGGGAGGACGGCAGACACCTGCCCGTGAACAGCAGCTGTTTTTCTCCTTCCTCGCGCTGCTCAAGAAGTCTCGTGCCAACCGGTTTAACGGGGCTGCAGGAGTCGGTGAGTGGCGGAGGCGGCGGTGGGAAGAAGCACGAGAAGTCACCGTCGGGGCTCAAAGCGTCCAACTCGCTCTCAGGTAACTGCGCGCGCCGGTCCGCCTCCGCCTCCAGAGCGGACTCCACGTGCGGGCTCCACGCCTCCCTGACACCAGCGGAGTCCTCGCGGGACACTGGGAACTCTCCGTCCTGCCGCTGAAACGGGAAAACACTGAGCACGTGGCTCTCTGCTCCGGTCGCTTCACAGCTGTACCCCCCGCCGCCGCCGCCGTTCCGGTCACCCTCCGGTTTGTTGTTGTTGCTCCGTGACCGGTATGACGCCGAGCCTCGCCGGTGTCTCTTCACCAAGAATCCTCGAGGCATTGTGGCGATGACAGCGCGTGGCACAAGCACAGCGGAAAGGACAACTCTTGTCTCGAGCCCACTTTCAAGTAGAGCTTTGAAGTGGCGGAAAGAGAGAGAGAGGGGGGCGCGCGCAGGTATGATGAGTGAACGAGAGAGAGAGAGAGAAAGAGAGCAGCCTATCCGCGTTAACATTTTTTTCCATCCAGCCTCACGGACACCGATAGCTTTGACTATATGCTGAAATTAAACATTAGACTAAAAATTATAAAAGCACAACAGCGAAGAAAAAAATAGTGCCAGGCAGGGGCGTGTCCAGGTGGAGGTGGCACAGGGTGGCACCTGCCCCGTGAGGCATGATTTTAAGTACTTTAAATGTTTTTATGCTAAAATTTCTGTAGCCTACTATAACTTAAGTAGAGTCTAAGTATGGTTAAATGCTAAAGCGTGTTTAACCTTCAGGTGTTGAATATATTTATCTGTGCTGTTTAGTTTTAATTATAAAAATGTTTCCTGCCACAAAATTTCCAGTAAAACGGTTTTGATTACTGATTTAAATTGTAGTAATTTTTTTTAAAAACAGCAGTAAACCAAATTACTCTAAACTGAAAGCTCTAATTGAATCTTATTGTTTTAAACAGTCACAAAATAATAAACAAATCCATCCACAATTAAAACAATCATTGGCTGCAGCTCTGTAGAAATCAATCTCCTTATTAGTTTTCTATCCTCTGGAGTGGATATATATGCATGTTTTTGTTTTAAAATATAGGCTTTGATTTTTATTGTAATTACTCTGTAACTGTTTCATAATTAGGTATCAGTAATTGGGATATTTTGAGTGGTTCTGCACAAATGTCTTCAAACAAGATGTTTACTCAGATTTTATTCAGACTTCTGTTTCAAAGTAAAAACAGCCCAACCATGATGACTTCACTCTAAGTAGTTATTGATTAAAACATTACGACGTCACCACTTCATCTATAATTTTGTACTGATGATACTGTAATAAATAATTAATATAAACCTACCTTCAGTTGTATTTATTTTTTGCAGTATCAATTGTGTTTTTAACTCTTTGCATAAACAACATAGATAATGATAAAATAATGTTTTATAGGTAGAACAGGTATGATAGACAGAAAAAAGTATTTCTGTATAAATTTTAAAGATCCCCGTTGGACATTTTCGCGTGGCCACTGTAACGCTTATGAAGCACCACTTACAGTACATAATACTGCAAAACATGTGCTCAGTGTTTCCTATGCCTTTTTTTCTGCACTGCATTTATTTATGATCAGATACTGTGTGGTGCCACAACTGATGCCACAACGTTAAAAGATCCATGGAATGCCTCCTGCATAATGAGAAAACCTATAACTTCTGAAAAGGCTGTCCTTGGAGTGAGGTAGGTCACTAGCAAGACCTTTTTTAAATAAAAGAAAAGTGTCTGGATTACCTCAGGGGATAAATTTGTCTTCTTAAAAGGTAACTTAGTCAGGAAGATCAGGAGACCCCTAAAGTCAGAGTAGCGGGAGCCAAACTTCACCTTTTAAAGTCAGTGCCCACATTAGCAGATAAGGGCTGTATCCCCGATTAAGATTAAATAGGATTTACTTTCCTGCTTTCCAGACTTTTAACACTTGTAATGACAGTACATTTTTTTTAAATACAATTAAATGTCCTAATGTTCATTTCCTCTCTTCCTTTTGCAGGCTGACTTGAATAAATAACATAGCCAGAGGCAATTTTTGCCAATTTCACATTTCCGCTTCAACATCCCTTCACCTCACAGCACTGACTTTCAGCCAGCAATGATCTGTGTCGTCTTCATTTCTATTTCTCTTCTTGCCATCCAAAAATCAGAAACTAACCCAATATGATCTCCCTTTCTATAAATGAAAGCTCACATTCTACAGTACTGTGCAAAGTCTTCCTTTACCCATTATTCCTTTAAAATTTGATAGGAAAATGGGAAATGGATGAATACAAACATGGCAATACAGTTT